GAATAAAAATATTAAAAAAATTGACCTATTAATTTTAATGTATTATAAATATAGTGATTGAAAAATTTTTAAATTAATAAATGGAAAAATAATAGGAATTAATATAGGTAGTAAAATGATAGTTGAATAATCAAAAATGAAATCGTAAAATTCAAAATGAAATATAATAAGAATATTAGAAATTAAATCATAATAACTAATGAATAATTTTAAAAGAGACCTTAAGTATTATTATATATTTTTATTGTAATGAATTAAATCATTCAAAAATTTTAATATGAAATCAAGTATTTTGCACTATTGCTATTTATTGAATTTAATCAAACAATAATTTTAAATGAAAGTAAAAAGTTTTCAATATTATTATTTAAAGAATATTAACATTACTTTATGTTAAATCATAAACTTGTATGTGACGTGGGTTCCACCCTCATAAGCTTATTGGTAAATCTAAGTTCTATCATCTAGCACAGATGCTTGATTGCATCTGTAGAATGCTAAAAGAGTCTACAGCATAGGAGACATACAACTACATAAAACTAGGCCATGGCAAAATATACCCATTAAACCTAATCTATAAAATATTTTCTGCAAATTTCTGTTGTGCTAGAATTCTATCTTCATCGAAATTTTGAATTAAGACACAGTCCCATCATTCTCATATAGATTAATATTACCAACATGGAATGGGAGAAGGTTCGATTGGGACTTGAGTAGCGCATTTTTAGAAACTATTAGACGTTTCAGCTCCGCTAGTTGTTTTCTCTCTTCTTGCTCTTCCATTTGCTGGACAAATTATAACAGCTCTTGTTTCGTTCCTTTTACTCTTTTATCAGTAAATCCTAGCAATTACACTTCTGATTGGTTTAGCCCAAACTCGCCTATATCTTTGGAGATAGGACTCCTTTCCTCCTCTTACTTCTAGGTTTTCCTTCTTGATTTAGTGATATATTTCTTTCTATTCACTCCTCTTAATTAATATGTCCTCTTCATCCTCTTGATAGATCCTATTGAGTAGTTCAATCTAGCTTCCATTTAACCAAACCTGATGTAATAGATTATCATCATCAGCTATCACATGATAAATAGGTTTATTCTTTATCATCCTATCTATATTTATGAATTATAGTTTCCTTTTGTTGGGAACTCCTCCCAGCAGTGGATTACTACTGCACAATTAATCCATTCGTTAATGTTTATATTTCTAATTATAAACTGGTACACTATTGAAATCCGACTATGCATTCTGATCTTTGTGATGATTTATTAAATGTTTATTAGAAAATAGATTTAAAAATATTTCCACTAGTTCCATTTGGTAACATTAACTTTAGGGTTGATAATAGTTGGGCCTCCTAGAACCTTTCATGTGGCCCATTTCCAATCATCATTTGGTCTAATATTTAATTGTTTTATGAATTCTTCTAAGCCTTTCCTTGGCCTACACTTGGCCTTCGCATCCATCCAGCACTCTGTCATTCTTTTGCACATTCCCTCCGCTTTCTTGTCCTCATCACGGACTCTGGACTTTCTGAAATGACTCTCTAAGGGCGATGTTGATTTATATTTAACCCTCGAGAGGTTTATTCCTGGGTTCCTTGGACTCTATCTTTTGGCCATGATTTAATTATTTTAAAAAATAATATATAATCATCCAATAATTTTAAATGAAATCAATTCTTATTATTTAATGAGTATAATCATTCAATAATTTAAATGAAATCAAATATTGTTAATTAATGATTATTATTCAAATTTTTTAAATGAAATCTAATAATTATTAAATATTGCTATTTAATGAAGATAATCATACAATAAATGTTTAAGGAATCTTAATAATTGTTAAATATAGATATCATCTCTTTCTTTATCAATCTATTTTATCCTATTATTTAAATTAAATAGTATATTTAGATCTATCTTTTTTTTTAATTATTTAAATATCCAATTTGATAAAATAGTAGCTTTGATAATTTGAATCAGATATAGAATTTGATCCCCTTGTTGTTTTTAATATTCGCTTTACATTTCTAATCAATTTTTTCTAAAAAGTAATGGTGGTCTTATAATTTAGTTGAAATTTCTCTATGTAATTTCCCTAATTGATTAAATTCAATGTGACTACCTTTAGCATTCAATTGTTTATTCACAACTTTTTTTCCAACATCTAAACTAAGGATGCCATTTGAATATTTCCATAATGTGCATTTATATTATAATTTAATCATGAAATAATATTTTTATAATTGCTGTGAAATTGTAAGAAACTTCAATTTTTTTTAATTACAAAATTCATTACATAATCAAAAGCTCTGTTTATTACATTTCCTGAAATATCTAATTTAAGCCTTAACTTAAATTCACTGTCTGTACATTCTAGATTCAGCTATATTTCCTCGATAAATATAGATATAGAATAGGATTTATTTTTCTATTTATTAAGAATTTGTAAATTAAAGATATCAAAATTTTATTTATGATTGAGAATATATTTATTTTCAAATCTTATTAAAATTTATAGCCCTCAGTTAAGTTAATTAAATTCATTATGATGGACTCCATTAATTAATTTCTCAAAGATTCATAAGATTTCATCATTGTTATATATCTAAATATTTATAAATCAATATATTCATAATTCAAATATTTTTTCTAATTACGTTTGATTCTTCGTTTATTACTTTTCTTTCATTTACATATTATCAGATTAGTCTAATTAGATTTGTCCTTAAGGTTATGATATGTCATCATCATTTAAATTATCTAATTATTTTTTTATTGAATTATTATCTTTATAAATTATGATGAAATGATTCCTTATTTTATGAAATATTGAACAAACATGAATCATTAATCCATAAATTAATCCAAGAATTTAAACAAGGATTGCTAAAATAACAAATGAAATAACAA